CCCCGAGATGGGACCGTCTGGTTGCAGAAAATCAAGCTCGGGGCTGTGGTGAGTGGTCATTTTCATGCACTTTGAATTTGCGTTGTATCGTATTTTGAAGGCATTAAACATTGCCATAGCGATTGGAGTGTTGCGGCCAGATTAGACGCTCCTTGTGTTTATTATTATATTTCGAAAACACCACCGTTTTCATGCAGCTCATACCATATTATTTTGTTGTATTATTTCCGCCACACCTTAAATGCCGGTCCCTGAAAATATTGTCTGACATAAACCGGTCCGTGGGGCAAAAAAGGTTGGGGACCCCTGCCCTAGGCGACAAAAACTATCAAGGAGCAGAGGCGATGGTGTGCACCTTTGGATGCTTTCTGCCACCACGTCGTACTGCCCAATGGAGCAGGCGGTGTGCAGGTCCAGGGGGACGTCCAGCTCCTCGGCGCTCACCGGGGACTCTCCCAGCCACAGGGACAGACTCACGCCGAGCTGCTCGGACTCGCTGGCCTCGTCGCTGAGCTCCGACATTGTCGTCCTCTTCCTTTTCGTCACTTTTTTTTCCCAAAAACGAGTATTTTGACATTCACCGCGAGAGTTAAGCGTGTTGGACGGCAAGTTAGCTTCTCGGGCTAGCTTCAACTTCAACTTGGAAAACAAGACAGTTGGTCACCTACTCGCTAACGAATTAGCTATTCAGGGGTCCAACTTTAGAGTGTGCCATGTCGTCAAAGTAATGACTAAAATATGAACATACATATATGTATTATATGATTTTGTTTCTCGCGGCGATTGATTTTGCCCTCATCGTTTAAAGTCGTGTTGATGTGCGTACCGAAACCCCGCCTTTTCCGGTTCTTCTTGCTTACCGGAAGTAACAAAGTGGAAATATTGGGAGGGAGCGTTATTAAGATATTGTGCCAGCCTAAAAAGTCGTTTCTGGTGTTTTATGAAAACTTTTCACATATGTGTGAAAACAAAAATACATACAAATGTTTATTTTTTTTAACTTATTAGTCCAACATTTTGTCACCAATCCAAAATTACAAAAAGTTGAAGCGAAACTCCTCGTTTGATGCAGCGCATGGAAATGCAGACGTTTCTGGACGAGTCTGCGGATTTGCATTGTGAGCTCCAGTTGGCGTCCGGTTCTCCCCTTTGGCTTGAGCTCTCCGATGGAAAAACGATTTTTTAGGTGACTCTGACTTTACTTTGATCTGAGCAGATGTAACTTCTGCGAAGAAAGAGGGTGGGGAATAATTATGTCGTGACACACAAAGATCTCCTTACAGAACTAACGCCCACCATTCTGGATGAGTTTGAACTGTTTGCTCTTCTCTTCTTCCATTTTCTTTCTGTAGTCTCCCGCCATGGCCCGCATCACCTGTCGCTTCTTAACCAGAGGAGCTTTGGAGCTGTGGAGTGTTTTGAGTGCATGAGACGTGTCCTCTCCTGCAGGGAAAATAAACACTAAATGATTGTCACATGCTCGTGTTTGGGGAGGACAACATCTTCCCAAAGGCTTCCTCAAAGATGCTCAAGCCATGAGTGATGTGAATAACTCCAACCTTAAGCAGATGAATCAGATTGGGGGGAAAAAATAAATAAAATCCCTCCCTTTATTGAAAAATGGGATGTTATTTCAAATTTAGAGTGCAGAAAATGTACAAACACACTGCAGGTGAACATCACACATGTTTTTTTAGCTCACACATAAAGAGCCATTGTGTGAAACGCCGAAATATATCAAATACTAACTCTGCTTTGGAGTGGCCTTCTGCGACTTCAATCCCAGCTCCAGCTGCTCAATACACCAGTCCAATTGCCTTTTAAATTGCTCTTCTGCACTCTGAAACACAGAGACGCATCAAGTCAACGCAATCAAATGATTGGTGACTAAGAGCAATGTGAAAACGTTCAACAAACACGAACCAGCTCTGTCTTCTCGCCCGCTTGACTCCCTTCGTTTTCACTTGTTTCCCTGGGCGCCTGGGTTGCTTTTTGCTTTGCAGATTTCTTTTTTTTCTTTGTTTTTGATTGGGCGGGTTGTTCAAGTGGCGAGCTGACCTCTGGCACAGTGGAAGAACTGTCATCTTGGATGCAGCCAACAACTCCTGGGGTCTCTGCTGCCATGTCTCCACATGCGTCAGGGTTGAGGTTTCATCGAGTTCCAGTATTTACGAATGAAGGTGTTTTTTCTTTTTAGGTGAAGTTGTAACTGCGAGTTCAGAAGTGACAATTTTCAGAATCTGTTTCATGTAAACACATACATGCATTTATCTTCAGTACTTGCACAAAACACAATTACACATATTCTGTTACATTACATGACTGAAAAACACCTCAAAGACACGCATCTCGTATGTGACTGCAAGTACCTACAGGGAAATGTCGACTAAAATTCAATCACACACACATAAATGCTATTTTAAAACGTTCATATTTTTTTCATTCACGCCGTAACTTACCACGGGCGTCACCCCAAACAACGTCCGTAAAGGAACATTGGTGCAACGTAAAAAGTGTTCCGCCTGTATTATCTTTTAGGTGACACAAATCAATGTTGCGGCCACCAATCTGAAGATTTTGGAACAGTCACCAAACTCGAGGGTCTACCTACTTCTTAGTGTGCATTTTTTTCCATAAATAGTTGAGATTCGAATACAGGTCGGCGTGAATTTAATTTAAAATGACATAAATTAATCAAGAAAGAATGGGATCTGCCGATGGGTTTTGATAAGAAAGTGCACATTTTTTAGGAGTTTTAGGACATCTGTCTTATTCACACATAAGTTAGTGCATGAAATTGTATCGTTTTAAGAATATTGTAATAAAAACACGTTCACATTAAATCAAAGGAAACGTTTTGAGGGAAAACTGGTTCATCATTTCAGCCAATCGTATTTCGACTACTGTTGCCTTTGAGCCAATCGCTGAGGTTTAAAGGCGGGTACTATGATGCTATAAATTCTGGCGTGGTCGTCGCGATGCGGCAGTCACCCAACGTCAGCGATTTCAGAGACACTCCGTTTCGCGGAAGGAAGACAAACGTAAGTTAGCATGCAGACTGCTCTTTTTTTTTTGTTGAAAAAAAATATTGCGTTGTCATTTGTAATGCTTTGTTAATGTGAGACACGATTTAATTGTCTGTTTTTCAAGTTAGTGTCCTGAACTAATTAGGTGTGTGTGTTTGGGTGTCCATTGTCAACACCTAGGTGCGCGCCATAGCAAGTAGCAAAGAAGCTAACGCTACCTTTTTAAAAAGCAAATTGAAACAATCTTACACTTACTTTTCCTCTCGAAGACTAGAAGCTTCGTTTTAGACTGAAATTGCGTATGAGGAAGGAGTGAAGTTTTGAATAAAAGCACACTTAACCCCAACAACGCTGCATGGCGCCATTTTGCTCACTTGAAAACGAAACGTTAGCCTTTGCCGTGGAAGGAACGTGCGTGACTGTCTAGTTTAATGGCGCCACTGCATTTATGAGCTTAACCCACATTTACTTTTGATTGCCTTTTATGGGCTCATGGGTGTTGTTGCGTCTTTACGAAACCTGTTTTCGCGGTTATTTTGGGTAGAGTGAACACAGTGTCTTAGTTGACGACTTTATTCTTAATCTGAAATCATTACTGTCTAACAAGATTGTTTTATTGCCTTCATTTTGTTCAAGTCAACCCAGTGACTAATGGCTCGTACCAAGCAGACCGCTCGTAAATCCACCGGAGGAAAGGCTCCCAGGAAGCAGCTGGCCACAAAGGCTGCCAGGAAGAGCGCGCCATCCACCGGTGGAGTCAAAAAGCCCCACAGATATAGGTAGGAAGCCCCCTCTTTTTATCAAATACAATCAAGGGTGACTATGGAAGCTGTTTGTGAGCCATTTCCTGTAGGTTTTTTTTAATTTAAAGTTTACTCTTCTTTTCCCAGGCCTGGCACTGTTGCCCTGCGTGAGATCCGTCGGTACCAGAAGTCCACCGAGCTGCTCATCAGGAAGCTTCCTTTCCAGCGTCTGGTCAGGGAGATTGCACAGGATTTCAAGACGGACCTGCGATTCCAGAGCGCGGCCATTGGAGCCCTGCAGGTTAGTTTTTTTTTTTTAATTATCCACCAGATTTTGGAAGGCAGGGGCAGTTCAGTCCTGACAGTTTTTATTTCTCATTTCAGGAGGCCAGCGAGGCTTACTTGGTTGGTCTGTTTGAAGACACCAACCTGTGCGCCATCCACGCCAAGAGGGTGACTATCATGCCCAAGGACATCCAACTGGCCAGGCGAATCAGGGGGGAGCGTGCCTAATGTATTTTTAAAATTGTTTTTTTGGCGGGGGGGGGTGACTGGTTTTGTAAATTGTGAACTGTTATCAGACTGTGCAGCTCCCAATGTGTCATGTTTTTCTCTTTTTTTTTTTTTAAACTTTCACTCTGTCATTCACAATAGTAGTGCTTCATACTCATGATACTTTAGAATCCTACTCTGTAAACTCATTTCTCTCTGCTTTTTTTTTTTTTTTTCTGTAATCCTGTGTGTGCATGCCATGGGGTTTTCTTCCTGTAAATAAACTTTCCACTACCTCAACTGGAGTCTTTGGGTTATGTTCTTGGAGCATTTATAAGTGGGTGCAAATTGTAGTTCAAAGTAAATGTTTATATAGTGCTGGAGGTGCTTCCGTTTTCCATTTGGGACAGCTTTGGTACTGTCAAGGAGAAGGATGTGACTTGGCTAAGCAAGCCATTTTAAGCAATCTATACATGTGTGGCAAGGCGAAAATAACTGGCAATGAAGTCACAATTTTACATCCAGTCAAGGCAATGAGCTGGAGTCTGAGCAGATCAGGGCTGGGCAAAGTCAATACAGAACACAAGCACATGAAGTGCATCTGGTTGATCAATTGAGCACACACTGCCTTTTGGCAGCACTGACCTTTAATTTGAAGTACAGTATACATTTTGAAATTGCAAAGCTTGTAAATTATTTTACCTTTATCAATATAGTCATACACTGATGCGTACTGGCAATACAATAGTAGCAATGTGACAAGCATTCATGCTGAAGACTGTCAAAATTGGATTTGTTTTTTCATAAGTCACTTCCCCGAAAAGGTTGACTTAAATGGCACAAATGGAACACTGATTTGTTCAGAACATTTAAATTGCTTAATCCATGTTTTTTGTTTCAAGTCCACATAGGTAGTGGCCATTTGTCACGGTTGCTATTATAAGACAGTGTACACACATTCCAGATGTCATTTATTTTTCTCGTTTTCTTGATTGGAGAGCAATCCGGGTAAATGCTGGTAAAGTTCTTTGTCCAACCGCTCATCAATGTCCGACTCTTCCCTCAAGGCGCACCACAGCAGGAAGGCCACGGCGATCACACTGAGGGGGACCACTTTCCACCAGGGGCGTTGGTGCTGGCTCCCCATGGAGCGCTCCACCTTCCAAGTCCTGTGACTGGCCTTGCTAGTGGAGAAGCGGATGGGCTCAGTAGCCGTCTCCTCCTGGAGATCTTGTTCAGGTTTATTCGGCTTGGCGAGCAAATGATGGCTCACGGTCAGAGGCCGCACACTGCTGACAAAAACGTGATTTGATGATAGATGTTTACATGGAAACATGAAAAACCATAGAACTGACCATCCTTGAACAACGAGGTTTCTGCCAAACAATGATTATTTGTGAAAATGTCAGCATTCTTTTTGGCTGTATACCCCCTTTCATACACACGCACGACCACTTTAGTTGTTCTAGACTTGATTGAGGTCAGGGTTGTTGAGGACAAATAGCAGTTTCTGATGGGCTGAAAGACACTAGCTCCTTGCATAATCTCTTAGGTGTAAGAACACAGTACAGTGTCGGGTTATTCTAAAATACACGATACCATCCAGCTGTTCAAAAGACTTCATCAAATATTATGAAGCACTCACCTCATGCTCGCATTTGTGTGACGAATTAACATTGACGTCCCACGACTGAAAGTTCTGCTTTTCAAAACAGTGAAAACGTGAGCCATTGTAGCCTACGGTGTGTGCAAATGATCATTTTAGGACGCAGAGGTCGATGAAAGCGAACAGTTTGCGTATCCTTACCACAGAGTTCATGTAACAAAGTTGTACGACCGAGATATCATTCCGACACAAAACAACGCATCGCCTCACAATGTTTCCCTCCTACCACGGATCCGGAACACTCCTCTGTTGTTTTATTTTAAAGCTTTTATTATTTTGAATCATACAATGGTGCATAAACGCAGGAGTTTTCCTTTTATTTTATTTTTCTTCTAATTGTAAAACACCCTATGAGTTGAAAACATTAGATTTTTCTTCATTTTGTATGGTGCGTTTTAGCCTCTGTTTTTATACCATCCTTGGGGAACAAGTTGTCATAATATTCGAGATGTCGTTCTTATGGATGTTTTGCTTGGAAAGTATGACGCAAAATATGTGAGTTTTATTACAAAATATTTCAGAGAAGCACGGGATTCCGAACGGGATTGGCATTCTCACGTGGTCTTGTGTAGTACTTGAACGCCTCGCAAATATCGTCCAATCACAGGACCGTAATTTCATTCATTCATGTTTCGGCAGTGCACCGTGACGTCATATCCGCGTTGTGCTGCATGCTAGTCAGCGTGTGCTGGTCTGACTTGGTTCGCGTCTTGCTGTGTAAGTAAAGAACATTTTGTCAGAATACATGAACAGAAATGGCGTTTATTCGGTTACTATATATATTGTCATTTGAGGTACTTATTTTCAGTCCGGCGCCGTGTGTGTTTTTGGAAAAACTGTTATACAGTCACGAACTAAAATAAATACAAAGTGTTGTGTTTGTTGCAGTATTTCGGAAGTTTCATGGCCAAAGACAAATCACAACAGAAGCCTCCAAAGAGGAAGAAGCTGCATCCAATTGGCGATGAGGATTGTGTGGAGCAAACCAAAGAAAGCAAGAGGAAGAAGTTAAAAGTTGAGGTAAGCGAAATAATAATTGGAATCTTTGTTGGAAAAGAGGGTTTCATTGTTTGGTTGCACGAGTAGTGAAACAAATCCAGGTAATGAAAAAACAAAAAGCAACACTTGATTGACTTGATGATGTCATTGTCATTTGCCTTGCTAGAAGCAAAGTGGGGAAATCGACTTCTTAAAAAAAAAAAAAACAATCAGCAATGTTAATTTTACTACACACCGCCCTGCCCTACTTATATTCATTCTTTTTGTTCTTTGTCCAGGAGGCTCCAGCCCAAATCCCAGATGTTGACCTCGTGGCGGAGGAAGGAAAAAAGACCAAAGTCAAGAAGCACAAAAAGAAACGAACAACGGAGCAAACAGAGACGACAATGGAGATTCAGGTTTGACATGTTTAATATTTGTCTATGCGTGCCCTGCGATTGGCTGGCAACTAGTTCAAGGTGTACCCCGCCTGCTGCCCGAAGACAGCCGGCATAAACTCCAGCACGTCCGCGAACCTTGTGAGCACAAGCCGATCAGATCATGGATTGAATACATATTTGTTTTGTGCCATTCAGCAACTGGGGGCGGGGAGACAAAAAAGAGTCGTGGGCGCACACTCTTTGATGTCCATTTTGTGGTTTCGAAAAGCTTTGGGCATCATGGACGACCGTGTTTCGGAGAGCGCTATGACTCGATGTCCTGCAGGGTGTCTGCGATCTCGATGTGCGGCGTGATGATGTTTCTGTTGGGCTGAGGGTGCGCCGCGCGCGGGCAGCAGTCGGCCAGCCGCCTGAACAGCCCGCAAAGCCTCTCTCGACTGGGCCGGTGCGTGAGGGCCACGAGCACCAGGCTGGCCCCGCTCCCCGCGAAGAAAACCAGCTCGGCCACGCTCGCCAACGCCCGCTCTCGGTGGCTCAGCTCGCCCCGCGCCCGCAGCCGCGCTCCCCTCACCAGCACCGTCGTGTAAAGGAGGTGACAGAACAGCAGCGTCGCGCTCACCGCCAAGAACGCCGGACCCTCGTCCGAGCTCGAGACAAACCTCCAATTGGATTTGCGTTGCCGCACGCAGCCGCATATCACGAGCGTCAGTTGGAGCGCGTAAGGGATCAGGAAAGTCAGGCACAGCTTTGCGACGGCGTACGAAACTCCAGCGTCGAGCGGATCCATGGAACAGTCCGCCTCCCGGTAGAGAGCCTCCCCCGGTCCTCGGACGCCGGCCAATAGAAGAGAAACGAAAGCCGACGTGAGGGCCACCAGTGCCGCGCAGACGCCGGGCCTCTTCATGAGATAGTTGGACGACGGGTCGAAGGTGAGGACGTAAGCCATCAGCGCTAAGACCAACAGGCCGCCGAGAGACACGGCGTTGATGGCGAAGGAAAGCGCGGCGCAGCCCAACGCCGCCGTCCTCAGGCTGCGGGGACGGTGCACCACGTTGTAGAAGGAGAAGAGGAGGAGCAGCAGCTGAAGGCCGCAGAAGGCCCAGAGCAGGCGGTCCAGCCAGGCCAGGCGCCGATGCGCCCGGTAGGTGTGCACAAAGACGTACAACAGGAAGCAGCCGGCGACGAAGGCCGCGGCGGCCAGCAATGAGTAAACAAGGTTGGCCGAGGAGATGAGGTCGGCGGCCGCGATCTCCTCCGCCGTGGCGGTCGGCGGCGGCGTGGAGGCGTTGACGAGCGCAGCCGAGCTGTTGGGAAGCATTTGCGTCGTGCCCTCGCTGGACTGGAAAAGAGTAGAGCCGTGCTTCGTCAAACTTTTGACATCAATTACAACCTAAAAATATAAAATGAACAAATAGCTGTCCAAAAACCACCATCATGACCGTAATTTTTTATCGGCCGATTCCCATATTTGGCAGAATGAAATGCCAATCGCTAATTAATCAACTGATTAATTAGAAGGAAAAAAATGAATAAAATAAAGACTTTTTTGTGGCCCCTTAAAGCTTAAAATAATAAAGACAAGAGCAAGAAGGCAGAATATTTGACTCTTTTACATCCTTTCATATTTGTATAACTTCTTAACGGAGGAAAAAAATTGCCTTTTTTTTTTCTTCTCGGCACAACAAAGTTCAAAAGCGGGAAACTTTTTTTTTGTTGTTTTTTTCTTTTTGAACAGCAGCGTTTGGTGAAATGAAATACTTTCGATGAATTTCCTCTCAGCATCTTCAGATGAAGCACCCGTAGATTGAACTACATCAGATTAAATCTGTTTGCGGATGTCAAAAAAATTTGGTCTCTGTACAAGGTGGGAAATTAGGCTCATTTGGAGAGGAAGTCAAAACTTCCTGTTAGGTTTTGCAGATGCCCCCCCACCCCCAGGTCTTGAACTGCTACATATGCGGATTACAAAACGGATGGATGGATGATGTGAGTGCAATGTTTTCATGTTTTCACGAATGTTGAGACAAACTCTGTCATTGGGGTACAAACAGCGCATCGCCGCGGCAACAGCGGTCAAGAAAATAAAAAGCTCTGCTTTTTATTTTTTTTTTTGGCGCATCTGTCACTTTGCCCTCCGTCGAGAAACGGTCTGTTCAGCTGCAACACATGTTTCCACTTACCTTTTTTTTTTTTGTTGGGGGGGGGGGGGGGGGCGCCC